TCTTATATTACTGCCTTCTGTGCAGGTTCTTTGCTCTCAAATATGCTGCTGACGCTGTCTGCACTGTTCTACGAGTTGATCAGGTATATTTCAACTTGCTTTGTAGCTTGAAAAGTTGAAATGGATAATGTTGATCAAAGGTTGATTGTCTAGTATCTACGAACATGGCAATATTCCAATTGGTAAAGGAACATTGGGTTAATTTTTTAGAGTTCAACTCTTCTTCCTCTATCATTAGTTCATATTAGAACTATTACTGAGTTTGCTTCGCTAAGCATTGTAAAAGGGGGTCAATTCAAGCTATCTCAAGTCTTAACTGCTTTACTTTAGTAACTTGTCTGTTTATGATGCCTGCTCTTATATAGTTCGCTGTAACTATGAATAACCTATAAAATAACTCTGTGCACGTACGAACTGGACAAACCCCTCTCTTGTCGGACTAAATAATTTTCTGTTTTGGGGAATTCACCTGCCTTGGCATTGGTATTGTGCTGTTCAACTGGGGTAAAATCTGGCTCTCACCGTTTTCAACAATATGGTTGTTTCTCTTAGCTTTAAAAGATGCACATCAAGGCCCTAAGGCAAAGGCAAAGGTAAGGGCAAGGACCTCAAGGCTCACTTACATATTTACATAATTTGTATTTGTTCTTTGTAAAGGATTAGTGAGATATATTGAAGAGATTAGTGAACTAACCTGAATAGATTAGGACCACTGGGGCAGACAGTGCTGGCAACCACTTGATAAGCCTTGCCTAAGCCAGTGACTGCCAGTTCTTAATTCCTAGCCATCCTGTGAATTGTTACAAGTAATTTTAAATAATTAGATTATAATTTGAGGGTCAAACCTTGTTCAGGATGCATTTACATATTTCTTGCATCTTTGCTCTATCGTGTTCTCCTGATTGTTCTCCTGATTAACTCTTGATTTACAGTAGTTAAATTATTTATACTGGTTGATTTTTCCCTGCAGATCATAATGGCAAAACAAGCTGGTGGACCCAGGAGAGATGCTGCCGCTGCTGCTGGGGCTGGAATGGAAGAAGACTAAGTGCTTCCTATGAAAAGCTTTTTTCCCTTTTTTTTGCTTGTAATTTTGTTGGTTCACGTGAAATCCGTTTCCTGGGTGCATTAATTATCTCTTATTTTAGTGTTTTTTTTGATGATTTGAAACAAAAATTTTTGCTATGGAGAGTGCTAGATTGTTGTTGTAGCTATAGTCAGAAGAAATTAGTAAACAAAAACTGTTAGTCGTAGATCAGTTCTAAGAGTTCATGTCATGTGCTCATCTTGTTTGGGGAAGAAAACTGAATCTACAACTTTAATATTATAGTTTTGATTCTTTCATTCTCCCAATCATCTTGTGTTGCTATTGTGTTGGCCAAATGCGGGTGATCTTTCAGGGATCTGTACTAAACTTCTACATAACCAAACAATTATTTCGTAACTAGACGTAACTTTTCAATTAGAACTGTTATCTCAAGTCAACAACAAAACAAGTTATCTCTCAATATTTTAACGAATCATTTTATTTTCACGTAGGGCGAATAAAAGTTTATTATGTTCTTTATTTACATTTCTGAGTTCTAGCCTCATTGAAACAACCAAATCTGAAAAAAAACGCCCCCAAAATAATATAAAAATAAATTAATAAATCAAGAATGGAGCCAAAACAATGAATGTGAAGCCAAAAAATGGGTGCCCCACTCCCACTTATGAGAAAATCCCATTTGAAAAAACCAAAAAAAACTGAGGATGAGAAACCTCTATCTCACCTCATCATCTACTGCCACTGATACATTCTATGGCGTCTCTACTACCATTCTCCCTACTCAAACCCACCACATTCTGCAAAGCCTCCTCAGCCCCGGCAACAACCGCCTCACCGTCTGCTCTAGTTGAGTCTCTCAATGATCAATTTGGTAGAAAAGGCATAAACTTTTTAGAATCAACTGATACAAGTACAAATGTTATTACTTCCATAGTTGAACTAAGTGTAAGAAATGGGAGCTCATTAAAGCTGCAACTATCAAATGCACATGTTACCTCGTATAGGCCTAAAGTGTACTGGAAAGACGACGGGTTTGAAGAGGTTTTGTACACACTTCCACAGTCCAAAGGCGGTATTGGATTAGTGCTTAATGATGTAACACAACCAGTTGCTGCTGCTGCTAAGAAACCAGACCCTTTCAGAAAGTCTGAACCTGCTGCTGCTGCTAAAGGGTCAGTACTTGCAGGAGCTGAGTGGTCTGTAAAAAATGTTGATTCAGATTCTTTTGATGCTGTCCAGGTATATTCAAAACAAAGTTGTCTCAATTTTCTTATCTTGTTGTAAACGACATTGTATGATAAACTACTGATCAATTGGCCAATTAATTTGCTTCAAAGTATTGAATTGTGCAATATAATGGCGTAGAGGTTGTGATACTATATGTAGTTTGAATTACCACTACTTAGCAAACTCTAATTTACAATGGCTATAGGTACTCTTTAATCATAGAAGGTAAGGTCGGCCATAAGGCTACCCATATCGGAATTCCTCAATGAAATTTTTAAAAGGAGCTAGAAGAGACCATCCACATAATCTGTAGACCATCCACATAATCTGAAGTATAAAGTACTATTTTAGGATGACAAGAAAACATTCACATTTCCTAATGTAGTAATGAGAGATTATTTTTGTCAAAAAAAAAATAATAAATGAGAGATTATTTAAATAATCTATACTGTTACTTGATTTATCTACGACATGAAAGAATTGACTTAGGTACTAAAGTATAAAGATTTTTAGTTGGGTAGAATCATACAGTAATTATGAGGATTTGGGACTTGGGACAAAGAGATGACTAGATGGAGTCGCGGAGAAACTAGTTTCTAGACTGTTTAGGTAAAGTTAGGGCTTGTTCTCATTGACTGAACTGAACTGAATTTATTAGAGCTGAACTGAACTGAAATGAAATGAATATTTTATAAGAGAAGGAAATTAGGAGCTGAACTTAACTGAACTAAACTTATTAAAGTTGAACTGAACTGAACTGAACTGAAAATAATAGTATGAGAACAGGCCTAAGACTATTTAATTTGACAATCTCTAACTTGCTCTCTGCTTCCCTAAGAGGGGTTTGCATTGGTACTAAAATGCTAAGTTGGATTTTAACTTGTTTGTTTGCTTGTTATGTTCAATACATTGTTGGTGGCTTGTCTGCTTATTATGCTCAGAAATTATCTGGAAATTCTGGCACCCAACTCAAAATAAAATCCAAAGATTAGACGCATGGATTTCAAGATATTATAGCACAACTTAAACACTTTATTACTGTTTAAAGAACTTATGTACATACATTCAAATGTTACAAATACTTTGCAAGCTTAGCTACCTATAAGAAGCTTGTATGTCTGATCTCAGCATAGTTCACCGGTTTGCCCCTGTAATTTTATTTTTTATTGCATAGGATGATTAGATAGAAGCTTAAAACCATCAGTTGTTCTGCTGGACTTTAACAGATGCATTCATTCTTGTTCCCCCTTTTACTTGATCGTCTTTCAGGTTGAATTGAGTTGCACCAGTGGAACTCTAGACATAACATATGTAGTTTCCCTGTATCCTGAAAGCATGGCATCAGCAGTTCTTGTGAAGAACAATGGCTGCAAGGCGATTGATCTTACAAGTGCAATACTCAGCCATATCAAATTCAAAAAACGTGGAGGCTCGGGAATACAAGGACTTCAAGGTTGCTCTTATTGTGCTCACCCTCCTTTATCTTCACCTTTTGAGATTCTTTCTCCTGCTGAAGCCATGAAAGCTGATAGTTCCCAGTCTCCTAGCAAGCCCGGTCAATGGACCACGCAAGATGTGCCTATTACCATTTTGAAGGATAAGTTTAGCAGGGTTTATACAGCTCCTCCTTCAGAGAGATCAAAGCGATTCTACAGAACACCGCCATCAAAATATGAGACGATTGATCAGGTAACAGAAAAAACCTTCGTCTGACTGAAACACTTATGTTTAATTACTGCATAATAAAGTTGGTACATTCTGCTATCATTTTCTGACTGAAACTCTTATGTTTTCGTTGTTTCAGGGAAGGGAGCTTGTGTTTCGAGTGATTAGAATGGGTTATGATGACATATACTTAGCAAGCCCTGGTTCTTTATCTGAAAAATATGGCAGGGAATACTTCATCTGTACAGGACCTGCTTCGATGTTGGTACCAGTGACTGTGGACCCAGGGGAGGGGTGGAGAGGGGCTCAGGTTATCGAGCATGATAATCTTACATAATTTGTAATTACATTTACTGTAAAGATGTGTCATTGTAACATGATTTATCACCTTGAAGATAAATAGGCTTCATAAATCATTTATTCATGTGGCTTTGTGTTTACCAGTTAGCTGTTACATATGTTGTAGTATAGGTTAAGCAATTTGGATCCGCCAAGGAAAAAAGTAATCATAACTTCGTAAGAGTAGCAGTGAAATATAAAGATCTACTACATGTCTAGATGGAATGGTTGATTTACTTAATTACACTTGATGGAAAAAAATGAGCTCAATCAAAGGGGTATGTTGTGCAAATGATATCCTACATATTCATAATGAATATATCATATATTTGTCATAGAATAAACGTTCTGAGTATGTATTTGGATGGAATTGGATCAGCAGACAGTAAGTCTGGGGCTATTTAATGATACCATAAGTCTGAATCATAAGGCTGCTTACCCCCTCCCAAGGCTTTTCGTTCCTTCTTCATCCTGAAAAAAAATACTTCTGTATTTTGGGAGGAATAAGTTTATATAAATAATTTCTTTGATAAGCTCTAATAAGTTTAGATCAGCGAATTCCAGGTGAAAATTAATAGGGGACATAGAATTTCCCCTTTGAATAAGTTTTCTAAATTTAAAAATAAGAAAATTTTGTTAAGCTAATCACCATAAGTTGACAATAATCAACAGAAAATATCTCAATATACACTTCCAAGTAAAAGCTCTGCTTGAGACAAATTGCTGGTAGCAAGGATAAGTGGACCCTCTCTATCTTCTTTTGCTTCCTCTTGGACTTCATGTCCTTCCTACATTCTATACCATGAACACCATATTCTGATGGAACTCAAGAAAAAATGTCTTGCAGTTTTCTTTTCCCATCAAATACCTCTCTACTAACCACTACAAAATCCATAAACTCCCCTACCTCATTTCCTCCTCACCTTTTGTCTAATTCATCCCGATATATTACCTTCAATAAAAGAGACTTTGAATTACCAATATCGGTGACTTCTCCTTCAGTTGCCTACCCACAACCTCCCTTCAATGTTAAGTACTTGGAGAGTGAATTTGGAAGCCATGGAGTATCTTTTGCCGAGCTTGGACAAAGCAGCTATGTTGTCAGGATGCTCTTGGAGAATGGGAGTGCAGCCAGTATTTTGATGCCTAGTGGTCTGATCACATCCTATAAGCCTAAGATGTGGCATGGAAGCTCCATTGAGGTTTTGCATACCTCTGTTTCAGAACGAGGAACTATGTATGGAGATGGCGGTGGTGGTCCTGTCATTCAAGGTGGTGTTTCTTTGGCCTTGAATTTTGTTGGTGAGAATGGGTTTTCATGGTCTCCTGTTAGTTGGGTTCTGACTGATGTTAAAGGGAACTCCCAAGATTCTATTCAGGTTTGCTTCTGCTATTTTTAGAGAAACATTTAAGTACTAAATTTTTGTTACATAATTGACATATACAAGTAGAAAGAAGGTTTCAAATTTCAATGATCAAACATTTATGCAACTGATAGAATCAAGTATAAGAAACAGCAAAGAAAATCCCTTCATCGGTAGCATTAAGGTAATATGAAATACTACAATATCTAACTTACTATAGAAAGAGTGACCAATTACGGAGCATTATCTTTGGGACGTTGTGGATGGTGTATATGTATCTGATTGCAGCAGCAATTGCAAACATGTAGTCTCCTCTTTGAGTGAGTAAATCGAGTCAAAAGTTGCTGAACAAACATATGGTGCAAATATTATGGACATTTTAGCTGTTGTAAGGTGATTAAAGTTCAGTTTCCTCGCCACAGTTTTTCTGATGGCATACTGTATATCTTATAATGCAGGTAGAAATGATAAGCAGAGATATTGGAAACATGGTTGAAGTAAAATACAGCATAACTCTGAAAGATGATACCTTGAGTTCAGAGGTCAGTGTTTCAAACTCGAGGTCTTCACAACTCGAGTTAAGAGGTTCTATTCTAAGCCATCTGACTCTGAGCTCACCAGATGCCACTTATGCAATTGGATTAGAGGGATCAAATTATGTCAACAAGCTACCTACCATCTCAGACTTCTTCATAATGCCTCCAAACATGGCAAAGAACAAAAAGACTAGTCAGTCATGGCCTCTATCATCCCTCAAAGAGTGGTTTGGTGCAAAATCCGACGATACAGAAATAAACGAGCAAACAGAAGGTGAAGAAAAAGATAATTATAAGCATTTATCTGGAAAAATGAGCAGGATATACACATGTGCACCTCGAAACTTCACAATAATAGACAGGGTTGGGCTTTTTAACTTGTTATTTTGATAACTAATTTGAAAAATTATGGATAAAACTTCACAATGATTATTTACTGGACTAATTTGTTGAAATTTGTTTTTTTTTTTTAACAGGGTAAAAGAAATTCAGTCATTGTTGGAAGGAGGGGCTTTGGAGAATTATACATGTACAGTCCAGGGTCAAGCCATGAACTCTACGGCAAGTATGCATACTTATGTGTTGGACAATCAGCTTTGCTCAAACCTATAACTTTAGATCCTGAACAATCGTGGATAGGCGAGCAGCGCTTACATAATCCAAATCTTTAAATTCCATAGTTAACACTTCCATCTTGTAAAAAGAACCCATCATACAAAATGCATCAACTAAATGAATTGAGTCTGGCTTTGTTGTGTTGATGTCAAAATTTTCTATTTCTTCTCTTTTCACAGAACTGCTGAACAATGATTTTTTAGTTAGGTCTTTATTGACTATTTGACTAGCTCTCAGGTTATATTCCTCCCCATTTAAGCGGTCAGGTTTTTGTATAAATTTCCAGAAATGCTATCATTGTTGAAAACAAATAAATTGTGAATACGTTATTTTTCGTGAATCTTGGAAAATAACTTATCAACAATGGTAGACTTGACATGCTCACAAGTTCACCTGCACCCAATAGATTGATCACAAAAACATTGCTTATCAGTTACCACCGTGACTTTCAGAGTATCCTTCTATGCTGCCTTCTCTCTTTTCTCAGGCTCGCTGATATCCGAAATGGGACTGTTTTTTTATCTGATGACAGACCAACTTCTGTGGTCATTCTCTTTACAATATGACTGGACAAAAAGCACCAAGCTCTGTTGATTAACAGAAGCGGTTGGTCATAAAAGAAATTTATAAATTAAGCATAATTAAGAGAAATCTTATACTTCATAATTTTCCTGCCAGAAGAGACCTATGATATTCTCCAAAGAGAGCTACTTGAAGTTTCAGAAGATGAAACAAGTACTCATTTGTACAAGATACAATACAGCTTAACAGATTGATACAAAGTAGGTCTCTTATAGTTTTATGGAAAAAAAATCCTGTTTTCCAATGACAACTAAATGATCTAATCATGCTACATTGGAAGCTAAGTCGGAACCATTCCAACAAATTCACCCTGATCACCTAGCAATAATACTGATGCAAAACCTAAAGAGAATACCAGGACGATTAACAACACCAAAGTGGACATCTTCCGAAAGTTCCGCCCAGGAATTTTCACAATCTTCTCAGATGTACTTTGATCTTTATGGAACAATTTGAGAGAGACATCGCCATTAGCCATTGCCAAAACGTCCTGAGTTGATGAGACTGATTCTGAATTAGAATTGGAATGACTTTGATGATCTTCACATCCATCTGTCATGTTGCCAGTGCCATCTTGTGGCCTATTTTTATTTAAGCAACTGCTTTGGTTATACTTGACTACAGGGCTCCATTCACAATTTGCTGAGCAAGGACTTCTCTGTCTTCTAGATTGATCACCAAAGTAGTCTGAGTTCTCATCATTATCCTGAAGTGAACGAACAAGCTTCCTCGGAGTAGTAAAAATCTTAACATAATCAAGATTTATCTGAGAGCGCGTCCTCTGAAAACACCAAAAAGAAAGAGATTAGCTTAGCAAGCAACCACAGATCAATAAAGTAGATTAAGGCAGTAAGGCAGTAAATTTTCATCCTGAAATAGGCAATTATAATATGACAATATGATGTCGTGCCAAGTAATAGTTCCTTTAATTAATTTTAAGATATGGCATACATATTCAGAATTATGCACCAAATCAAAACTTAAAAATGCCAACATAATTTCTAGCTCCATGATTAAAAAGTAGAGGGAGTAAAAAGTATGTGATAAAATATAAACAAAAGCATAAAGAATGCGCTATTAAAAACACTCAAGCAACTAAACACAGATCTAAACAATAGCAATTATTTCAAAAATTATACATGTTGGTAGAAGAATCATATGCTATAGCATGTTTCTAGGCCCATACAACCTTGTATGTCAAGTTTTATTTTCTAGCAACTGTAATCAGGGAACTAAGATGCTAAAGTCTACACAATATTATTGTTTTAAGAATAATTGAGATAATGTTTATTTTACCTGAGGACTGGGAGTTTGGCTTCTCATTGATGGGCTTTGAGATCTGCTTCTCAAAGCTTTGTGTACTGGAGTTTGAGGTCGGCTTCTCAGAGCTCCATTCGCTGGACTCTGAGCTCGCCTTCTGAGTGCTCCATTTGATGGACTTTGTGGTCGGCTTCTCAGAGCTCCATTTGCTGGACTTTGAGCTTGCCTTCTGAATGCTCCATTAGACGGACTTTGTTGTCGGCTTCTCAGAGTTCCATTTGCTGGACTTTGAGCTCGCCTTCTGAATGCTCCATTTGATGGACTTTGAGGCCGGCTTCTTAGTGATCCATTTACTGGAGTTCCAGGAATAAATCCTGGGAATCCATTAGTATAACTTCTCCTACTATCAGAACCTTCATCCTGTTCAGAGGACACATGAGATCTGACGCTTTCTTGAGCAAGTTCTGAGAAAAGTCCATCCTTTAGGGACACATTCACATATCCATTTTCTTGACTCCATTGCTTCCTATTTAAATTTCTCCTTATATGATTCCCATTGCACGAAGCTTGACTCACTGACATTGGCGAGTCCATGAAAGACTCACCAAACGAATCAAAGGTCTGTGATTCGGGTGACACAGATGACGGTGACTGACTGCCAGGACTTGATAACTGTCTCCGGCTATTACTACTCCTACTGAAGTTGGAACCAGTCATTGAAACCTCGTCACAACTGATCTTAGATCCTTGATCTACTAATAGTTTTTTAGCAGTCTGCAATGCTTCAAATGCAGCTCCCTTAACGTATGGCATCTGATCAGATTGACAGTTCTCCATCTCCACAATAATCGAGTCTAGCTCCGAAAATATACTCCTGATATCCAAGCATTTCATCAAGGAATGCACCATCTGAATAGCTGTCAAGCGTTTCTGCGAATTCTTCTCAGTCAGGCCACAATTCAAGATATTCAACCCCGCCCTTATCAACAGCCGTGCATAAGCCTCAACTGTAAGACAATTACGCTTGGCCAACGACATAACCAACCCCATATGAGAGTTCGTTTGTGTCGATTTATCCTCCAAAGCACTAGCTAGCTTTAAGCAAACCTCATTCACCATTTCATCAGAAGCAAACCTCCAATTATCACAATCCACAAGGGCTTTCAAACAAAGGGCAGCACCACAAGACAGGCTCTCTTGAGAGCCCAAAAGAGCATCTGTAAGCGGCTTACAAAGCGAATGGATCAACTGTTGTTTCTTATCTTCCGGCGTAGCAGACTCAATCCCATACCTAGCTATTGCAGGAACCACCTTAGAACATGCCTGCTGAAGAGGAAATGACCCTCCACTAGTAGTCAAAGTCTTAATAATAGAAGACATGATATTATCAAGTTGTGGCACAATGTTAGGCCCATGTACCCTAGCAAGGACTTCATAGATGGAAATGGTATACTCCCCCGGCGACGAACCGGCATCCTTTGTCTCCGAAACTTGAGCAAGAAATTGCGGAATCGCTTTCGAGTCCATGTCTTTTACATACAATTTCAGTGCTTTCATTGCAGACCTCCTACAGTCTGCATCCTTTAATTTGGCCAACTCTTGCCGCAATGCAGGACTCAAATTCCTACCCATTGATAACCTGGTCCAGTTTTTATACATACAAAGACAAGAAACAAATCAATAAAAATCACATTACAAAATAAATTTAATCCACTAAAAATCGATTCCCATTTCACATTTTCAATTGAACGGAAAATCCCACATCAATTTACTTATATAAGGAACCAAAAATTGTCACTAAATTGATAAAAACAAATACACAAAGGACTGAACTTTATCATATTAAACCCAAAATAATCAAACACCCATTTTACTAATTGCAATATTGAATAAAACCCACATCAATTTCACCACATATTAACAAAAATATTGAAAAAATAGAGTGGACTTTTAACCAAGAAATCATATTTTTCGGCCTTGTGATTATACAATTTGCTATAATATTAATAGCCCATCAACTATTTACACATTTTGACAAAAACCCATTTCAATTTAACCTTAAAACCCCAAAAATTGTCCCAAATCAAATTAAAAAACACAAGAAAAGTTACACTTTTATGAAGTTATAAGAATAGAAAATGGAAGAAAGAAATTACCTGGGCCAATGCAGAAGACTAAAGAAAGAGACTAAAGTCGAATTACTGTTGAAGATATTGAACTCAAAATTCAAATGATGAAATTCTTTAATTTGAAACAGGAAAAAAAATTAAATGGGAAAATATATGAAAGATCTACTCTTTCTCTTTAAAGAAGACAGAGAAAGTAAAAATATTCAAAATTTGGAAAGAAATCAAGAAATGAATAGTGAATGAAAATGAGGAAAGAGCAGCTGTAATGCATGAAACAGGGGTTTAAATTTTTTTCTGGGGTTTCTAATTTTTTGGTTTTTTTTAGGGTTTAAACAATTATTACAGCATTTAAGAATGTGTACTGTATGATCCAGTTTTAAAATGTTTATAGGTTTGAATTCTTGGCATGAAATGCGCGCATTGTGTTTGTGACGTTTGAGTAATGTGCACAATAAAGACAAACCATTTGAATCTATTCTTGGGAAACGGGAATAACCTTTAATTTGAATTTTTTTTGTGATGTAATTCCCTCCGCTGTCCCTCACTCTCCTCAGCTCTTCTTTGTCTTCTTTGTTTTTTGAATTTGTTTTTGTTTTTGTGGTCAAAGGAATATACACTCTCTATGTTTTAAGTGTCATAATTTGACTGATACTCGTATATCTCTATTTGTACATTATAGAGGAAGTATATAAGATTAACTATAATCATACATATGTCATGCACAAATAAAGGCCAGAGTAGTGTATGTGAATAATGCAAAGTCAAATAGGATCATTTGTTTTGAAAGATAGTTACGATTTGAATTGATTTTGAAAGAAAATTATTCAATTACGAAATATCAAATTTCAACTTCGTACACGAATTAAGAGCATTTATACTAGTGGGTCAATGTTAAACGGATAAAGTGGACCTGATCCATCACCAGCTTCATATGTCACAAACATCTTCTCATCCATTCAATTGGGGTTTTCATCAAATGTATTGAAATAAATGGATTGAGTTCACAGATATTCGTCTAATATTGTCATTCTTATTCGTCGTGCATGTGTTACTCATCATACTGTTTGTGTGTGATATAAACCATGTTATGAACCTTAAGGCATTTATCATTATTGAATAAGTGTACCTTTTATTGATAGGAAAAAATTGCTGAGAATAATCCCACCTTTTGAACGTCTTCGATTAATAATCCCACCTTTGGGATTCTTTTTAATAATCCCACCTTTACCCCCTGATCTTTTTTAACGGTCCCACTTTACTTGAAATCGGCTAACAAGGTGAACTTTGCTTAGGTGGATTTGGGTAATGAAATTTCCCCCCTAAATGATGCCAGATCATCTGTCTCTCTCAACCACCGTCTTTAATGTCTGAAAAAAAGAACTCCTCCCTCATTACTCTCCTACAAAATTTGGTCAGCCATTATTGAAGGTTCAACCACTTGTGTACGCTGCAGTAAAGGAGAAAGCTTCCATTTTTAGCGAGATTGTGGATTGCGAAGAACTCCATTTTAGGTAAGTGTTCCAACCCTAAATTTCACTTGAACAGAGTCTAAATTTTGCTACTTGAACTCGAATCCTAAGCAATTTCACTCGTAACTGTTGATTTTGCGTGTTGGATTTCAATTTATATGTTAATTTTGTGTGCGAATTGTAGTTTGTTTGCATTATGTTGCCATTTTCTTGTTGGGTTATGTGAATTGAGTGCGAACCCTAAAAGCTAGGTTTTTGATGTGTTAGAATTAGTTTTGTTTTTTGTTTTATTGATTCTTGACTGTGCTATAGTTCATTTTACATTAGGTATGGGTAAAATAAGCTTGAAAATGTGGCATGGAGGGGTGTTTAGGCACCTTGACAATAGGACACCGTGCTATATGAATGGGCAGGGTAAAACATTTAATGTGGATCCTGATGATTTGTGCTATTTTTATCTTATGGAGTTAGTTATGAAGTGTGCTAGATATGAAAATTGAATTCATGGTTTTTTATACTTAGTTCCTGGGTTGAGTTTGTTGGATGGTTTGAGGAGGGTGACAGATGATGATAGCATGAGGGACATGATACAGGTGGCAGAGAAGTATAGGGGAGTGGAAGTGTATGTTATGCATGATGAGAATGACCCACTACCCTTTCCCTCAGAATTACAAGCTTCCTCAAAGAAGTCCCAACCCAAAACAGTGAGATCCAAATAAATTCAAGTGAAGAGGGGACCACCAGTTAGATGTAGTCCAAGAAAGCATACTAAGCCATTGACTATTGCTGAACCTTCCCAAAAAACCCCTGACAGGTCACTAAAGCCCAAAAAAGATGCTCCCACTAAATTTATTCCCCATCCACCTTCCTCCTTATCTAACCAAAGTGAATTAAAAGTAAAATATGTTATAAACCTTAGTAGCACATCTGAATTAGGGCAGCCCCCCACTCTCTCTGAAATTATAGCAGCCTCAAACACAATCCCAGACCCTATTAGCACCTTTGAGTGGGAACATTCAAGGTTTGACAACACTATCCCCCTGAATGATTTGATACTAGACTACAGTAGTGAGAGTGATAAAGGAGACCTCAGTTACAACCCACTAATTGACAAAGGGAAAGGAGTGAGTAGCAAGCCTTTCTTTGGAGATGTGTACACAGATGAAAGTGAAGAGGATGTTGACTTAGATGCAGAGGAGGGTGGCTTAGATGCAGGGTTGGAAGGTGGTGCAGATTTGGATGCCGAGGCTTATGGCTTAGTGGAGGTTGAGGAAGAGCTTGAGAAGGAGACATAAGAGATTTTAAATGAAGAGTTGTAGTACCAGTCTGACAATGGGGATGAAGAGTACAACATAGCTAGGAAGAGGGTAAGGCATACAACTAAACAACTTGTTCAGGTTGCAAGGAAGATTCAAATTGAAGTAGCCAAGGGTGTGAGCTTACAGCAAGAGGGGGAGAACAACACAGAGGTAGGCCAAACTGTAGGTGAATCTTCTAGGCCTCAGAGTGATTATGAGGAGAGTGATGAGGAAGTAAATACACCACCTGATAGTGGTGAAGAAGATATGATTCCTGGAAGAAGAAAAAGATTGGGACTGTTGGTGTCTAAATTCACAGACTTTGCAACTTTTGAGTGGAAAGTTGGGTAAAAATTTGCAAATAGGGAGGACTTTAAGAATGTTGTAGCCAAGTATGGAGTGCTGTAGGGGAGGAATGTCAGTATTGTTGTGAGTGATAAAAGGAGATCACAAAGGTTGGGTGTCAAATGCACAGAGGGTTGTCCATTCTATGTTTATGCTTCATGGGACACTAGGAGAGCTACAATAGTTGTGAAGACAGTGAAAGGAAGTCACACTTGTCAGAGAAATATGAAGAGGAATAGACAGCTAAAATCAACTTGGGTTGCAAGTCAATTTCTAGATGTGTTTAAGACAAGGCCACATTGGCCAGCCAAAGAGATTTGTGAGTGTGTAAGGAAGGCATATAAGATGCTTGTCACCAGAGACTTTGCTTACAAATTCAAATACAATGCCCATAGACTGTTACATGGGAGCATGCATGACCACTACAACAAGGTGGGAGGGTATTTGAAGGCAATAGAGGAACGCAGTCTAGGAACAGAATTGGAGCTTGTGACTAACACTCAAAAGCAAGTTTTCCCTCTAACTTTCCAGAGAATATTCATATGTTTTCAAGGTCTTAAAAGTGCTTGGATGCAAGGTTGTAGGAAGGTCTTGGCAGTTGATGCCTGTTTTCTCAAAACCTTTTTAGGGGGTCAACTGTTAGCTGCTGTTGGTAGGGACAGTAATGACCAGATGTTTTTAGTCTGATGGGCTGTAGTTGAAGGTGAAAACAACTCTAGCTGGGAGCGGTTCTTCCATAAACTTGCTGGTTGTTTGGAACTAGGAGAAGGTGAAGGCATTTCAATCATTTCTGATGAGCATTAGGTATGAGTGTTATTCCTTTTCTCTCATTAAATCAGTTCCTTCCTTTTATTACTTTATTTGCCTAATTGTCTGTTGTTTCATATGTAATTTGACAGAGTATAGTGCATAGTGTCTCAACTGTGTTGCCTAAGGCAGAACACAGACACTATGCTAGACACATATTTGCTCATTGGCACAAGAAGTACAGAGGGGATGAGATGAAGTTGTTGTTTTGGAGGATAGCTAAGTTATACAATATGGCTGATTACAATGAAGGAATAAAGAAGCTTGGAGAGTTAAATGTGGATGCTGCTGATGGTTTCAAGAAACACAGGCTAGAATTATTTTGCAGAGCTTTTTTGAGCCCAGGATCAAAGACAGATGCTATAACTTCAAACATAGTAGAGACATTCAATGGGTACATCACTCAAGCAAGAACCAAGCACTTACTGTACATGCTAGAAGAAATAAGAACCTCGTTGATGCAGAGATTGGTGGTGAAAAGGCAAGCTATGATGAAATGCACCTCACAGCTGTGTCCAAGAATCCAAGCCAAGCTAGATGCTAAAAAAGCAAAGGCTACTGATTGTGATGTATCCCCTTCATCTGAAACCCATTTTAATGTTAATTACAATTTAGATCAGGTTGTGGTGAATTTGGAAAGTAGAACTTGTACTTGTAGGAAATGGGACATGCTAGTCATCCCATGGTGCCATGCTGTGGCATCAATTTACTTTATTGGACAGGAACCAGAGCTGTATGTGGATAAATGCTACTACAAGGACACATACATGTCAGTATATGCAGGTAACTAACTGCCTTTCTTGTATGCTTATCCATTTGTATGATTTCAAACAAGAGTTAAATTGGTATGTGATGCCTTTCTTATGTGTCTTTTGATAGGGTCCATTCCACCAATTCAAGGTGAAAGACATTGGCCTGATGTGTCCATGCCACTTGATCCTCCACCTATTAAATTGGTTCAGGGAGGCCAAGGAAGAATCGAATAAAAGATCCATATGAGAACCCAAAAAAGTCTGGGACCTTGACAAGGACAGGGATTGAAATGACCTGTTCAGTCTGCAACACTAAGGGGCATAATAAAAAGGAAGTGCCCTAACAAAGACAGTGTGCAGCCATCTGAACCACCTGCAAAAAGGTCTAGAGGCAGGCCTAGGAAGGATGTTGCACACACAACAGCTGCATCTCAGACTACATCTGCATCTGCAGCTCAACCAATAGCAGCATCAGCACAAGCAGCTCAAGCAACAACACACCACTCTCTAACTGCACAGCCTACCATACTTGGTAGAGGAGGAAGAACAATATTAATGGGGAGAGGATCTAGGGGTGGAAGGGGGACTGGAGTTGTTGTTGCCAATGTTGATAGAGTAGGTGGGAGAGGAAGAGGGACAAATGATTCTGTAGGAAGGGGAAGAGGTTCAAATTCTATTGCAGGAAGGGGTATGGGTTCAGAAATAGCTGGAAGGGGAAGGGGTTTAGATGCTGCAGGAAGGGGTAGGGGTTCAGATGCTGTAGGGAGAGGCAAGGGTAGGACTAGGGGAAGGGGTAGAGGAAGGCACCCAGTTCCAATTGGTGTAGGTGTGTACATTGCACCAGATGGATCTGCATTGAATAGTGTAAGTGGATTTATGGTGTCAATCATAGATTACTTTCATTTTGTTTGCAACAACTGTGATTCATGTGAATCTCATGACTGTTT